AACCCCACACTTCTAGTTTTTGTGGTGCCTTTTGGAGCAAATTGATGGAATTATTTGATTTGTATTATTTACCGTGTGGAACATCCAAAATGCTTCTGATCCAGCTGTGACTTTTGAGTTACAATTTACTGACATGTGTTTACGTTTCAGGAAAGATTGATAGTGATCGATTGATACGATTGAGCATATTATGTTACATTATGTACTGAAGGAGCGGTTGCACTCTTAGTAATCTTGGCACTTTCATAACACACTGAAATAAATTTTGAAAGTCTACTCACCTGTATGCTGGTGATGGTGGTGTATTGGTACGCTTTAACCACAGTGTAGTTTGCTTCCACGTCCACCAGCCCGAGCAGCAAGTACTTCCACCATCGTCTCTTCAAAATCTGTAAAAAATTGCCATCCCCTGCATTTTAAAGGGGAGCACCCCTGAACTTCAGTACTGATGTGTTTGTTTCTGCAACAAGCCTGAGGACACTCTGCCTCACTGCAAAGCAAAATATATTTGCATATTTACAAAAAAAAATCCAAGACAAAATCTCACAAATTTCTGAAAAGGACAGTCCTAAACTTAGAAGAACAAATTAACAAATTTACAAAGAAAATTTTAGATTTTTAGTTAGAGAACCACATCGCTTTACTTTTCTAGTCCGTTTGCAAAGGGCAACACAAAACAATATTTCTATCATCACAATTACTTTACACATTCTGATCACAATACAACACCCAGTTTGGAAAAACCTGCCTCTGAATATCCCAGTAAAGACTGGTCAAGTGTTCTGTGTATTTATGTGTAATATGGCATATAAAGATTTAATTTTACTGCTATGAAGTGTTGCTATGCATGTCATAAATTTCAGCATTAATCTCAGGTGTTCAGCACGGGTGTCACCTGTTCTGCAGAGCAGCATGGTGGTGTAGGTGACAGTCAGCAGGAGGTAGTTCAGGAAACTCTGCAGCATGGGTGTGTTCACGTGAAAGTTTGAGGCCAGGAACTGGGAGGTGATAGCTGTGCCACAGATGAGGCCCGCCAGCCCCTGACCCATAGCCAACGTCTTGGCCAGCTGCCTGAGAGAGAGATGAGCGGTGGATCTTTAACAACAGTCACAACAGGCAGCTTTGCTTTTTGAAGTCGCTGTAAGCAGATTTAAGAGAAACCTCCTCCCTGCCTGGCAGATGATGCTGGTCAACATGTACATACAAAGTGTTTTTCACTTTTCTAAAGAGTTTGTGAGTAAAGCTTGCTTTACACAAGGTGTTTGGTTGATGATGTTTCTACATGGAGTTTTCCCAGTATAACTAACACAACTCACTTTATGTTCCACATAAGCGTTTGGTATCAATCATATCTCCTGTTGTAAACTACCACATTATTCCTTTAAAGGCAATTTTTTTTATGTTTTATAATTTGATGTTAAAAATGTATTTGACAAAAAAATGTAAGTACAAAAAAAATTAGTTGTAGTCAACAATTTAACCTGTGACTCTTTAAAATAAAACAGTAGAAATGTAAAGATGTGTGCTGAAACACTGGAAATAAAGTTTAAAATAGATGATATTTAAATATTCATAAATGCTGCGAATAACATTTTTAGAAGAGTGTAGTGGCAATTCCTTTTGTTTGACAAACCAAACATCCCACAATTAAAAGTCCACAAGCCACTGCTGCACTGAGATACTATTTCGTACGCAGGCAAAAGAAGTCCACTGTCCAAACTTGAAAGTTGCGTTTTTATGGTTTATTTATCCAGTTTGGC